TTTTCTTCAAATCTCTTACTCCATGGTAATTTTCCTTTAACTTGAGGAATCAGGCATAGCATTGTATATTTTGTTCATAGTGGATTTTTTCATCATAAGCGTGACTTTTCCTTAGTTTATAATGATCTTGAGGCCAAAGTTGATAGATATCCAAATGGAAATATCGCTTCAGAACCAATTATGCAACAAGATTTTAATGATGTCCACAGCTTGAATCGACTGGTCAAGCTTGACAAACCAAAAACAAAACAAACTCATATTCCACCTAAAACTTCTGATAAAAGACGAGGACAGATTGGTAAGTAATATAGATTACATGCAATCATTTGACAAAAAAATCTTAACTAATAATTACTATTTTCTTAGACTTAACACATGCTTGTTGGGGTTTAAAGGCAGAGGATTCACTTCCTGAATCATATTTTTAATATCTTTTTGCCCTATAGAAAATTTCCATACATATTTCATGCATTTTCTGTGCCAAATTTTTTATAGGGTTGTGGTTTTAAATTATATTAATTACAACATAGATATGATTGATTACTATAATATAATACGTAAAAATTGTACCTGCTATTAGTTGATAATTAATTGTGAATTAATTAAAATTATATTTTAAGTTTTAATGTAATCAAATGAAAGATCATTTATACAAAGTTTTTTTTAATTAATGTTGTAATAGGCCATTACATTTTTAGTATTAATATAACAAGCCACTGGCTGCTATTTTTAGATTCAGATGAAAAAGTGGTTGATGTAATGAAAAATTAAAAAAATGCATAAATACAAGTTGTTTCAATAATTCAAATAAAGTAAAAATAATTAAATAAAAATCTTAATCACCAAAACCAAAAAATGTCCAATTCTCAAACAAGTCTTTTAGATGAATCACTGTTTACATTTGATTATAACTCACTTCAACGAGAAATTGAAAGTGCTATAAATGCTAATTATATAGATTATATAGATGATGAATGCTTTGATAGAGATGGTGCTTTTGATGGCCATGATGATGTAGAGATGAGTGATGAATTTGGATTTGATAAAGAAGTTCCTAAAGAAAAAGA